AAAAAATAAAAAAATCTTAAAAAAAAATAAAGGATGAAAATGATAAGTATGGTGCTGGGCACGCTATTGCAAGTCCTTTTGAAGTCACTGAGAGGGCACGTTGACCTCTGGCTACTTCAACACACAAGCTGTTCCATGCCCTTACTCTAGCCTGCACCTCAGCCAACAGTAAAACCATAAACATTTATACCAGTGGTTGGTGAGCCTTTGGGATAGTTCATGACTTTGGAATGTTATGGAAACAGACAGGTTTCCTCACCTACAATGGGGATAAAATTTAAAATGGCTCCTATGTCCAAAATGTATTATATGCTATACTTTGCTGGCTGCTCCCGCTATTATTAAGTTTCCTGGGCATTCCAGACTCGACTCCCTGGAGGCCAGAAGGAAACCACCTCACTGCTTTTTCTGTCAAAAAATGCTGCTTTCAAGGAAACCAATAGCCAGACCTCTGTCATGGTCCAAAGGGATGTTCTCCCAAATGATAATTTGGAAAAGTTGACAAGAGAGTCCAAGAACTGGCCCCAGAGATGAAAAGCAGTCTTAGAAATCTAGTAATTATTATTGGCTCAATAAGAAGAGAATTCTGGTTTGGACCAAATAACAATCCAGCCCCACCAGAAATTCTAAAATGTGCACTACTTCCCTCTGTACATGCATTTAACTATTGGTCTACTGACAGAATGACAGCATTCATGAACCAATATTGGTGGGGAAAAGGATGCAGAAAAGTGCCCACCTTGCTCTTCCCACCTGTCCAAAGTATAATCCAGGGAAACTTATTTACACAAGCGGATTTCAGACAGCTTTTCCCATCTCATGGGTATAAATATGTTTTACTCATGGTTTGTATGTTTTCTCACTTGACTGAAGCTTGCTCTTTCAGACAGGCCAATGCTTCTTCTGTGGCTAAAATTCTGTTAGAAAAGATTACTCCTATCCAGGGACCCCCCTGAACTTCAGAGTGATCAGGGAACTCATTTTACTGGCCAGGTGCTGTGACAGCTCTGTGCTGTCCAGCCAGCTTTACGACCCTTCCACTGCGCGCACCATCCTCAATCCTCGGGCTTAGTTGGATGTACTAATGACACTATTAAGACTCAAGTGGCACCATCCACAGAGACCCTCCAAATACCTTGGCTAAAAGCACTGCCATCCATCCTTCTAAAACTCAGATCCACCCCCTTGGGAACTTATAGATTCTCACCCTTTGAGGCAGTCACAAGACGTCCAATGCACTTGGCTTCTCCCTCCTTTGACCCACAGTTGATAAAAGGAAGTATGTTTCAATATCATAAAGGTCTAATTGCTTCCATTAAAGTAAACATGCAGGGCACCTGGGGGCTCAGTCGGTTGTGCCTTCAGCTCAGGTCCTGATCCCGGGGCCCTGGGATCGAGCCCCGCATCGGGCTCCCTGCTCCGCGGGAAGCCTGCTTCTCCCTCTGCCACTCCCCCTGCTTGTGTTACCTCTCTCGCTCTCTGTCAAATAAATAAAATCTTTAAAAAATAAAATAAAAAAGTTTGGTGTAAAAAAAAGTACACATTCCGAAAGTTTTATCCTGGCCTCCACAGCTTGCATGGTCTGGCCCCTGCTCACCTTGCCATCTCCTTGCACACCTCCTCTCCACTTCCCACTCAACACTGGCCTGCTTCCTGCTTCTACACCTTGGAAGCCTCCAGCTCCAGGTACCACAGTGGCTGGGAGCTGAGCTTGGAACCAGACTTGGGTTTGAAATGGAAGGAAGCTGAGATCGGTCAAGTCTCTTGACCTCTTTTCCTCAGTTTCCTTATCTGTAAATGGAATGATAATCATACTTTCTTTATAAGGTTCTTACGAGGATTCAATGAGTTAACAGTACTTCTGGCATCTAGCACAGGGCTTGGCATACTGCCTGCCTTCTGGTTTTGTATGGCCCATGAGCTAAGAATGGCTTGTACATTTTTTTTTTAGATTTACTTATTTGACAGCGATCGAGAGAGACAGCACAAGCGGGGGGGGGTGTTGCAGGGACAGAAGGAGAGGGAGAAGCAGGCTCCCTGATGCAGGACTCGATCCCAGGACCCTAAGATCATGACCTAAGCCAAAGGCAGACACTTAACCAACTGAGCCACCGAGGTGCCCCACTATCCAGCTTTTCACAGGAAAAAAATCCTGCCAAGCCCTCGTCTAGCACATGTTTATTTGATGCTATCATCTTCATCATCACTCCCACTTTGCATTAGCTGTTCCTTGTGTCTGGAAAGTTCTTCCATGGATCTTAGGATAGCTCACTCCTTTTCTGTAACTCAGATCACAATTTAAATATTACCTCCTTAGAGGTCTTCTGCGGTTACCTTGTCACTCTCTTTTCACCCTGTTCTAATTGTTTTTTAAAGATTTTATTTATTTATTTGACAGAGAGAGAGTGCGCACGCATGCACGAGCAGGTAGGGAGGGGCAGAGGGAGAAGACTCCCCGCCAAACAAGGAGCCCCACGCAGACCTTGATCCCAGAACCTGGGATCATGACCTGAGCCGAAGGCAGACGCTTAACCGGCTGAGCCACCCAGGCGTCCCTCTAATTTTTTTTAAGATTTATTTATTTGAGGGCACCTGGGTGGCTCAGATGGTTAAGCGTCTGCCTTCGGCTCAGGTCATGATCTCAGGGTCCTGGGATCGAGTCCCGCATCGGGCTCCCTGCTCCTCGGGAGCCTGCTTCTCCCTCTGCCTCTCTCTCTCTCTGTCTGTCATGAATAAATAAATAAAATCTTAAAAAAAAAAAAGATTTATTTGAGAGAGAGAGCGTGCGTGCACACGCACACCTGCGTGTGGGGGAGGGGCAGAGGGGGAGAGAGAGAATCTCAAGCAGAATCCTCGCTGAGCATGGAGCCTGATGCAGAGCTTGATCTCACCACCCTGAGATCAGGACCAGAGCCGAAATCAAGAGTCTGCAGCTTAACAGATGGAGCTACCCAGGGTCCCCACACTGTTCTAGTTTTTGACATGCCCTTTACTGTGTCCTGCTGTGTCCTCAGAGCTGAGCCTAGTGCATAACTTGTAGGAAGTGCTCAATAACTGGGTTCCTGGCACTGGGGGGCTAGTCTAGACTATAACCCAGGAGCCTCTGAGCTTGTGGGTGAGCTGGTCCGATGAAAAAGACCATCACTCAGTTGTGCCTACAGGTAAGTCAGGGCTGGAAAAATGGGAGGCCCATCAGCAATGGCAAGGCTCTGCCCTGTGCCCTGTTGCACAGGGAGGGACATTCAAACCTACTGGACAGTGGGAGGGCTCAGCAGGAGACTGACCCTTCATCTTAGGCCTGGAGGCTCCCAAAGGGTCACTTGCATTCACACCATCCTCCCTTCCTTCCAAAACAGGAAAAGGTTTCGGGGGGGGGGTAAGGGCCGGGGTGTGAAGCTTACATAGCGTATCACCCAAAATCAACAAAACCACAATGGTCACATCAAAGAATGACCCAGGTCTCAGGGAATCCCGGCATGGCAAGACAGGGCTGAGCATGGGGCTCTTCAAGCCACTTCACAGTACAACCACCTCCACTCTGCAGCCCAGCCCCTTCTATCGGCCTGGGATCTTGAAGATGTCAGTCACTCCTCTGCCCAAGGCCACAATCTCCATGATCTTTCTGGATCTCCATGGACCTCCTCATTCAAGCCAACTCCAACCCTCCACTCCCCCACACACTCCTCTCCTTCACAGTGAAACTTCTTTGAAGACTAGTCTGCAGGCTCCATCCCCGTGGCCTCAGCTCCCAGGTGCCCCTCTGCCAGTACAAATCTGTTCACTCTTTGGGTTCGTCATAGCTGCCAAGAAAGCACACAGCCCAGAATCCAACATCCACCATCAGACCTTATCATAACTGCCCTCACAGGGTTCCTAGCAGTTGAGCTCCTCCTCCTCTGTAGGACCCTCACCCTGGGCATCTGTAGAGCTAACGAGCCCCATATCTCTGTCCTCCTCTCAGCCTGTAGTGCTTATGAAGCCTTGCCCAAGGCCACAGAGCTTGGAAGGGGTGGGGGGAGGTTTGCTCTCTCCCTTCCACCACCACACGGGTTCAGTATGGTGGCAGCATGACACACACATAGAAAAGTGCTCAGGGGGCGGGTGAGGGGGACAGAGGATGACGGCTAGTCGGTAAAGGCAGATGAGTGTTATTCGGAAGTCTGTGAGGAAGTATTTCAAGAAGGAAAGTACAAGAATTAGATTTGCATTTCAGATCAATCACGCTAAGGTGAAAAGGATGGGGGCAAGGGGCTAAGACAGAGCCAAGACTAGTCAGGGGAAAGTGCTGTAATCCGAGGGTAATGCCACAGAGGCAGGTTATTTATTTGGTGGAAGGGATGGACAGGAAGGGCCAGAATCAAGGATATTTAGGATGAAGTTCTCAGAGAGCCTGGAGGTGAGGGAACAGCCTCCCAGATGTCTTGCTTGGGCTAACGAGTAACCGTGCAGAGGCACTAGAGTGGGGGGCTGTAGGGACTCACTCGAGCAGGAGCCTGTGTCAAGCAGGGACACAAGCAGGTAAAGGTACCGCAGCCACGAGATCCTGCCACGTCCAGCATCAGCTCACACCCCAGCACTGATAACCAGCAGAAGCAGAGGACGTCTGCAGGGCCCCAGACCCGTTAGATCCCTTTAAAAGGGGAGGATTTTTGCAGCAAACTATCAGTCTCCTCGGACCTGACCCCTCTAGACAGACAGACCCCCTCAGTGTGACCACTTCAGAAAGGCAGTTGCTGCCCAAGGCTCTGCCCGGTTGATCTCCCAACAGGACTGAGATGCTTCCCTGCTTGAACGTAAGGAGCAGTAAGTGCCGAGAGCTGACCCGGACCTGACTGAGACCTCATCTCAGCCGCCGCCCACAGACGGACTTCGTGTTTGGTTTGTGAACTCCCTACCCCCTTGTTATCTTGTTTGTTGTGTGCCGTATAAGAAGCCAAGTTAATCACATGGTGAAGTATCACTGAGGCTGGAATCCTAAACCTGCTTTATATTAACCTTGCTTTCTGATTGAATAAAGCGGACACTGGGGAAAGACACAGCTCGTGGGTGCACCTTCACAGCGTGTTCAGGACACGTGCTCTCGGCGGGGCACTCCCGGAAGTGATTGTGATAGTTGTGGTGTTTCCCCCTAAGAAGCCAACAACATTAACCGCTAATCTTGCGTGTCTTCCGATGACCAAGAAGAGTGGGGACACATGAACTGCTACCATTGCTGCCAAAGTCCACCCAGCCAGATACCTGCCTGGGTTAGGTGTGTTAGGTCACCAGAGGTCAGGGGGTTCACCTCACATTGAAGTACCAAAACTGCACAGAATGGACACAGGCTGCTGATAGAGACCAAAGACAGAAATCGCTAGAACACAGATCCCAATGTTGAGTCCACAGAATCAGGAACCCTCTTCCCAGGTACCTGCCAGCCCTTTGCTGTCAGGGGAGACCAAAGTCCAGGCACACCCCAAGCAGGTGAGAGAGGAGGCTAGGACCGAACAGCAGCGCCCGGGGAGGAGGCTCCAGCCAACAGGGAGGAAATCCAGCCCACGCACAGGGAGGGAAGGAAGGAAGCACCTTCTAAAGCTTCCCCATCCCAGCTTTGATCAAGAGCTTGGGGAGCAGGGAAAGGGCGACACACCCATCACAATGAGGAGCCCAGAGCTAGCCTTTGTGCAGTCTCCTTCAGGCAGCCACTAGCCCCTTAGAGAACTTGGCCCCAGGGCCCCGGGGTGGGGGCTCTCCTCACCACCCCTGAAGTGAACTAGGCAGCACAGCCAGGAGCAGAGGCCTCTTTACATTTCTGGGATTCAGGACAACCCCAGTGCCGCCCGGAGAACACGGGGGAGCAAAGACACCCATGAGGGCTCACTGCTGGGCCAAGACAGGGACTGAGAAGAGCAACTGCTGCTCCCACAGACAGCTCCACCCCCAAGTTAAAGATCAGGAAAAAAGGCCAGGGCCCTGAGGAGGGCTAGCCTGTCTCCGGCGTCCCTCAACCTGGAATGACTCCATACGTGCCTCGGCTCTCTGCACCCATGGAGATTAATCCCACGGCTGCCTCAGCCCCTGCTCCAGGGCCTTGAGGGGCCCCAACCGGCCCCGGATCCTCCCCCACAGGCCCGGAGCGCCGGTCCAGGCATTGGGACACGCTGGTGCTTCTCACTTTGACCCTGGTCTGCGAGGTGGCGCCCAGGATCCTCACACGGGAGGTCACCGGAACCCCGGAGCGGCTCCAGTTTCTCGTCTGGCCTCGCTCCAAAGCCCACACAAAGCCTGGGCATGTCCCTTCTCCGCCGGCCCGAATTTCCCGGCTGCAAATGCAGAGACGTCTAGCACTGCCGACCTGACCAACAGGTTGCAAAAATGAAAACAGCTCCACACGCAGATCAAGGTGAAAAGCCCCACAGGCGGCCTTCACTTCGCAGGCTGCCGCCCGAGAAGCCGCTCCCGACCCGTAGCACCCTGCGCCCAGGAGGGGCCTGCAGACTCGCGCGCCCCGGCGCCCGCCTCCCCGACGGCTGGCCGGGCAGGGCTCCCGAGGAGGCCCCGCTCTGCTCCGCGCCCCCCGCGCCCCGCGCGGCCTCTCCCTCCTCCGCCGGCCTCCGCTCCAGCCGCAGGCCCCGGAAGTCCGCGCCTCACCTTCCGCCTCGCGCACAGCGCCGCAGCGCAGCCGCTCAGATGCGGGCCACCGCTCCGTCGGCCCCGCGTTCCTCTGGGCGCCGCGGGGGCGGGCCCCGCGCCCGGCTCTCGCCATGGCAACGCTACACTTCCGGCCCGCGCGGCCCAAAGCCGGAAGCCGCGGCGCCCCACGGAAGCCCGGGGGCGGGGCCGATCGGCCAGGGGGCGGGGCCTTCCCCGAGAGCACGGCTGCCCGCGGTGCTGTGTGAGCGTCTCGGTGGCCGCGGCATCCGCGGCGCGGACGAGGCGGGAGGGGCGGGCAGTCAAAAGGCTTTCGGGAGGGTGGCCATCTATGTGTGCTGGGCTTCTAAAGAACAGTCGGAGTTCAGCGGACAAAGCAGAGTCATCACGGACGGAGGGGAAAGCATACCTAAGTGGAAGGACCCGGTGCCTTGGGGCCATGGGAAGGAACCGAGGTGGCGGTTTAGGAGGGCGGGGGAGAGTGGTCACATAGGAATAGTGCGGACTCAAGGAGCCTCGAACGTCAAACCAGGCGAGGGAGGACCCGTGGAGGGGACGTGGTGGCTGAAGACTTGGAGGGAAGGCCCTCTTTGCTAATGGAGTGGGGTTAGGAGGCCGTAGACAGTGAGAGCACGGGGAGGCACGAGGACCCCGTCAACCAGAGCTCCGGGAACGGAAAGGGGTGACAGAGGAGTTCCGAGGAATCCACGGGACGTCTGAGAGTGGAGGGGGCAGTGTGGTACTCCGCATTACCTCATCCATTCCCGCCCCCACACTTTCTGCCCCAGTGCACCTCCCGCACTCATGCCTTCCCTCAGCGCCTTCACGCCGGTTGGCTACCTAGTGTATGCTGTGGATTTTAAACCATTTAAGAGTATAATGTTGGGGGAGGAGGCTACCCAAGAAAAGTTGAATCCTTGGAGTAGAGTGATATAAAGTGTGCTCCTGTGGTTTCCCTTGGGTCTAGGGGCCTTGATTCCAGCACCAGCCACTGCTGGTGTCCTGGGCCCAATACCCCCTTGGGCAAACTTGCTGGTGAGGGGCAGGGCTGGGCTTTGGGTCATGGTACAGACCATAGGCCTTGACTAACTCAAAGGCCTTGACAGATCAGATGGCCAGAGAGAAGGTGAGGGGACAGAATAGGGTCTGGGAATTGAGAGGACCAGTGAGTCTCAGGGCACCTGCCAGAGGCATTTTTCTGGGACCACACATCTGGGGCAGGTCCTGTGCCTGCTAAAACCCTCAGACACTATAGCCAGGCCTGAGCAGGGGGTTCTGGCCCCTCAGGCATCCCCAGCCTGAGCCTCCACTCACTTTCCTAGAGTGCCTCTCCTCCATTCAGGCCAACCCCCACCTGCCTGGGGAATATCTCCTTCTACCTAGACTAATCCTCAGGGCCCTGTGGCTGCCTGGGAAGCCTTCCTGCATACTCACACGACACACCTGTGCTCTCACTCCTGTCCAGGGTGAAACCAGGTGGTCCTTGCATGCTCCCCTGGGCAGGAACTATGACCCATGAAGCTGTATCCTCAAGGCCTGGCCCCAAGAGATGTCCAGTAAACCCCTCCAGCTAAGAGACCTCTTCCTCCACACACACAAACACCCAGGAGCACTGCCCAAGTGCCCCAGAAGAACAAGGGGCATCCTCCTGGGTAGCAACCTTCAGAGCTTTGGACTCAGTGGACCAAAAGAGAAGGGAGGCAACTCTGCCTCCAGAGAGTCCTGTGGGGCCAAGGAGGTCCAGCTCACCTAGAGCCAGTGAGGTGCACAATGAATAACGAGAGCTGGTCAGCTCCCACTGTTAACAGGCACCAGGGAGGGGAGGAAAGTGGCCTCCAACGCCTTTGGAATCCACTGGGGCCCTGCAGCAGCCCCTGGGAGAATTCCTTGAATTAACTGTGTCCCTATTTTGTTCCTGAAGTTTCCTCCAGGAAGCCCTCTGACCACCATCTAGGTCCGGAAGCTGCTCAGCCTTGAACTCTGGGCAGGCCCCACCCATTCTTGGCAGGTCAACTTTGGGTAAATCAACTCCCTCAGCTATTAAATGGAAGCCTGAAGCCCAGCCCAGACAGGATAAAATAACCATAGGTCACAGGCCCCTTCCAAAGGCTCTTCCTTCCAGCTTGTAGGGGGTGCTGAAGGCAGCCCAGGGGTGAGGAATGAGGCCTGGGTGGCCGCCTGCAGCCCCCACTGGAATCCTCCCTGCCCCTCCCTTCCAGATTAACTGAAACCTGCTAATTGTGGCAGTCCTCTGCACGCTCCCCTCCCCCACCGCCGATTCCTCCCTCCCTTTGCCTCCCCTCCCCTCCCCCTTCCATCCGAATGATAAAGGGTCTGGCCCGCCAGGCCCGCCGGCCTCAGGCCCCCAGCCTTGCCTCAGCGCACAGCCCCATTGCCTTGCCTCCACGGGGCCAGACCCCTGCCCACGGTGCGTGCCTCCCCCTGCATGGGACCCTGCAGCAACCCACACCTGGGGCTTCCTGGGTCGGAGTCGTCCTCCCAGCCCCCCAAGAGGAGGAAGAAGAGATACCTGCGCCATGACAAGCCCCCCTACACCTACTTGGCCATGATTGCCTTGGTGATCCAGGCCGCACCCTCCCGCAGGCTGAAGCTGGCCCAGGTGAGAGGGACCCCCATTTTCCCTCACACTCGGTAATCGGACCTTTCGCCAGACCTGTCCCCCACCTACTCCTAGGCTCAGACTCCGGCTTCCATCCCCACCTGGCCCTACCCAGCTGAGCCAGTGGGGCTAGTCCAGGCCTGGGCACCAGGGGCAAGAGCCGAGGTGCTCAGGCAGGAACCTTCCCTCGGGGCTTTTTTTTCGCTCGGGCGCAGAGGTGTTCTTTGGGGGGGGGGGCGACGCCCCTCAGCCCGGCTGTGGGGGAGGGGCGGCGCTGCTCCCCTCTGCGTCCCGGCTCACAGTGCCGCGCCGGGTCGGTGGTTTCAGATCATCCGTCAGGTCCAGGCCGCGTTCCCCTTCTTCAAGGAAGACTACGAGGGCTGGAAGGATTCCATCCGCCACAACCTCTCCTCCAACCGATGCTTCCGCAAGGTGGGGTAGGGCGAGGGTCGGAGCTGGGGCGGAAATCCCGAGTGTCTGGGGTCGGACGGCCCCACCCAAGCCTCCCCACCCCCTCCAGGTGCCTAAAGATCCAGCGAAGCCCCAGGCCAAGGGCAACTTCTGGGCAGTCGACGTGAGCCTGATACCGGCCGAGGCGCTGCGGCTGCAGAACACGGCCCTGTGCCGGCGCTGGCAGAGCGGGGGCGAGCGGGGAGCCTTCGCCAAGGACCTGGGCCCCTACGTGTTGCATGGCTGGCCCTACCGGCCGCCCAGTCCCCAGCCACCGCCCAGTGAGGGCTTCAGCATAAAGTCTTTGTTAGGGGACCCCAGGGAGGGGGCACCACG